CCCCCCACCCCATTATTAATACACACATCTGCCAGAGATCTGGGCTCTTCAGCTTTACCAAGCAGCTATAAACTCCATTCCCCTAAGTGCCCAACGTTACACGAGTAGTTTGACCATTAATGTTAGACAAAAACTGTCCTTTAACTGTGTGAATCTGTATCATAAAAGCAGAACATGGAGTAAAATGAGGTCCTTGGCTTTTATTCACTCATACAGCAGCTCGTCTCCTGTGCCCGATCCACGTACCCACAATCCCCGGGCCATCGTGCCACAGCAGTCAATGAAGTCAGAACATGATGCACGACTGGAAAATGTCTTGTTACTTGTTTCTGACAGCCAGTCCATCTATCTTGCACAGCGATTGATGACAACACAGCATACTGAACGGTTGAGAGTCCTATTCGTCTTGAACCCTGGGATATGGGTTACACTGCCCCCTAGTGCTGGCTCTGGGTGTGGCAGACATTGGTGTAGCCAATGGGGATGCAGCCATATGTGAGATTGGTCCAATACGGAGCAGACCGAGAGGCTGGGAGCATCATCGTACGTGCGGGGCTCTTCTGTGAGCCCTGGCTAGGAAGGGGGGGGGGGGGGGTTGGGTGTGGCCTCCGCCGGCTCACTACGCCTCCTGCAGGCCATGCCAGCGACACACCTGCTGCCCCTGCGACTGCCGCATGTCCTGCCAGTGCAGCCACTCCTCCCGGCCGCTGGCATTGTGCCCCAGCGACACCCAGCCTAGCAGCTCCTTGCGTTTGATGCTGCGCCGACTGTAGATTGACACCAGCAGTGTGACGTCGGACAGCTGGAAGAGCGCCACCTGGAAGACGAAGGTCTCCTTATAGACAGGGTGCGGCTGGCCCCGGCGGAGGGAGGTCTTACAGCGGCACAGTTCCTGGCCCACAGTGTCTAGCAGAGTCAGCTTGCCATAGGTATCTGTGTAGGGGGGGGCAAAGATGGGGAGGGGGGAGGTAAATATGTGTTTTTATAAGTAGGTTTGTGTCTGGGTATAGATCAGCTTATAAACCAAATCCGTATACCTGTGTGCTTATGACTGCACCTCCAACTATGCCTTTACTTGCATGTTTGTAAATGCATGCAGCATGTTCAAATGCACGTGTGTGTACCTTGGCATGCATGTATGTGGAGGCGTGCCTTTATTTGTGTATGTGTCCCTATTACGATAAATGCACAAATAAATATCTGTGTATGGAAATGTGCGTGTGAGTCTATGCACAGTTACTGTACAGTTGGCATATGTATATTTTCTTCTGTAAATGTGTTCAGAGGATACAGCTGACGTAGACAGATGAGTGTTCTCTTAAGTGTGTATGCTTAGGAGTGTTTACATAATCAGAATCCGAATCTGTATTATTCACCAAGTACCAAGAATACAAGGAATTCGTCTTGGTGCAGGTGTCAACACAAAGAGATATACAAGATATGACATATACTAGAGAAAAATAACATTAACAGACCTTATACAAGGTAACTGCGAGTATAAAGGATGTGCAATATAACAGCGAAACAACTTAATGTGCAACTGTGCATATGTGTACTGACTCCAGTGCTGGAAGTGGTAGAGGTTCTAGCACGGAAGGATTACAGCATGGGATGGGATGGCATGGGATGGGATGGGATGGCATGGGATGGGAAGTCGCTGAGAGCATTACCATGTACATAATAAAGAGCGTGTGCAGCAAGTTAAACCGGAGGGAGGTAAAAAGGGTCCTTCTTTAGATGAATGATGGCCTGAGGGAAAAAGCTGTGGAGGTGTTGGTCCGAGTCCTTAGGGTTCATGCTCTGGGTCTCCGCCAGAATCGGAGCATGATCTTCCCTGCCCTCTCCTTCCTCCTGCATGAGTTGAGGTGTTCGGCAGCGTAGTGCCGACAGCCGATGATTTTCACCTCACATGGCACCATTTACTGCAGCTTTAGCATGATGTGTGATAATACAGAATCATACCAGACGGTAACGGAGGACGTGGTGATGGACTGTGTAATGGCAGTGTAGAACTGGATCAGCAGTGCTTGGCACAGGCCAAATTTCTTGAGTCACAGGAAAAACAAGCGCTGACAGGCCTTCTTCATAACTGCAGTACTGTGTCTGTCCTACCTGAGATCCTGTCTTAGAATGATAGTGCCCTAGAATTTGTGAGACTCTGCTCTGCTCACAGAGGAGCTGTGCATTTCCAGTGAAGGCAGTGAGGCGAGTTTCTCCCTGAAGTCAATGATTAGCGCCACGGTTTTGCGTGTGTTTAGCTCCAGGTTGTCAGCTCTGCACCATGACATCAGCCATGTTACTTCCTGGTATGTGGACTTGTCATTATTTGAGAGGGACCATGGTGGTGTCATCTGCAAACTTAAAAAGCTTAACAGAGTCACTGTCAGAAGTGCAGTCATTGGTGAAGAGGGAGTAGAGCATGGGAGAGAGCACAGAAAAGGAAAAGGGCGTCAGAATTATGGTCGCCAACCCTGACATACTGTTTGCTGTTGGACAAAAAAGTTGTGGATCCAGTAGGAGACAGATGGAGGGACATTGAGCTGCTACAGTTTATCCAGTAGAAGGTTGGGAAAGATGATGTTGAAAAAAGGGTATACTTGATAGTGTATACTTAAAAGGGTGTACTTCAGAGTGTATACTTAATAGGGCACACTTCAGAGTGTATACTTAAAAGGGTGTACTTCAGAGTGTATACTTAAAAGGGCGTACTTCAGAGTGTATACTTAAAAGGGTGTACTTCAGAGTGTATACTTAAAAGGGTGTACTTCAGAGTGTATACTTAAAA